TGTGGCCACGTGTCCCGTGCCAGCTGCTGTGTGCTCCTGGCTGTGGCTCTCCACTGTCCTGCAAGAAGGCGCGAGGGCTACTGTTACCATCTCACAAAGAGAGATTGGTGCTTAGGCTGCCAGCCTACAGTCATCCTGGTGGTAAGTGACTGAGCAGGAAACCCGGGTTCCATGATTGGCTCTCTGACCTTGACCTTGACCTTGCTCACTCACTCTCTTGTGGTGCTGTTAGGCACCAGACCCCCAGGTTTGCCATCTCCTCAAGGTAAGTAATACAGAAGTGGCCACTGTCCTTCCTAGGCTCCAAGGGCGCACACCGACTTTAATAGCCTAGTGGCCGTTGTGGGACAGGTTTACTTCAACACAGTCGCCACCCACCTGTCCTCTGGGTGGGAAGGACGGGGACCCCTGTGGGTACAGGTGTGAACAGACTCAGTGCTGTGGAGGGTCTCGCTCGGGCCCACTCTGACTTTTACGTCCCCCTCCTTTGCGCTCACTCTCAAGTCCCCTGGAACTTCTAATCTGAAAAGGATCGCCAGCTCTACCAATTCACGATGAGCTAAGCATTTTGTTCTCTTTTCAAAAGAAAAAAAAAGTATTTAAGATGATGGTTAACATGGAGAAAGAAGCCATTTGCAGCAGAGATCTTGACAAAGATTCCTTGCTTGACCAAATTTTAGTGAGGCCCGTCTGTGCACTTCCTTGTTTTATGACTCTGTTTTCTCTTACTATAACAAAATGCCTGAGGCTGGGTAATTTATAAAAGTACAGTGTTACCAAGGGAAAATCTAAATAACCCCTGCAGCTTCACTAGGTTCATCATTTGAGAAGGGCTTCATTCCAAACTGCAGCACAGGGTCAACTTGATCTAGACTTGCTGGCTTCTCCTTCTCTCTCCCCTTGGAGGCTGAAGACACCTACCTGCCACCATGACTGGAAAGCCCCGCCATGGGAAGAGTGAAGAGGGGTGGCTCCGAGCTCCTGGCAGAGCAGATACTCCTGTGCCTCCTGTGCTTGTCTTCTCTTCCTCATGTTCCCTCCTGGTCGCGTCCCTCCATCCCTGGAGGTGAGAAGTGACCTCGGGGCACGGGCTCCCACTTGTTTCTTTGGCCCCTGAGCCCAGCCTCTCTCCCCAGCACTCATCTCCTGGACGTTGGTTTTCCGCAGGATGAGCTTCCAGGGCTGGGTCTGGCCATGGTGGAAGGCCGGGGGCTCCCAGATCTGGGAAGTCTAACAGCCCCGGGACGGTCTTGCTGCGTCGTTGCTGGCAGAGGACATGGCATGGCGCAGGGCGAGTGGCCAGCTCTGTGCTTCTTCCTCCTCTTCTAAAGCCACTGAGGCTACCATGGGCCTCACCTACCCTAACCACCCCAGAGGCTCGGCCTCCAAACGCCCTGGACCTAGGAGCTGGGGGAACACACTGAAACCAGAGCTCAGGAGCCAGCGTGAGCAAGCGGAGCTGAGCCACCGCAGCAGGACCCCACCCCCCTCGGGGGTGTCTGGCCACGCTGGCCTGGCCAGTCGGGTCAGTCAGAACCCTCTGGCCCTGGCACTCCTCTCGGAATTGTTCTGTAGCCCATCCCCCATGGAGGCGCCTCTGCCTGGAGATTCCCACCGGCCTTGCGGAGTTCAGAACCGAGTCTTTCTGCCCGAGTTCTCTTCCCCTCTACTGCAGCAGTCCTGAATAGAATCTGCTTCACCAGCGGAACTGCCCTCCAGCTCCGGTGTCCTCTGACGGCCTTTACCCACTCTCAGTCCCCAGTGCTGAGCCGCGGATGCACCTGGCACCCTCCCAGCCTGGAGAGTGAGGTGGGGTAAACCCGCTTCCTGCCCTCGGTGAGCTTCAGCCCAGGAGGCAGATGAGTCAACGCAGCCCCAGCACATGGTGGAGAGTCACCGGAGTCCCACACGTGCCCTGGGAGAGCAGGGGGCCTGGGGGGTAGGGAGTGCCCCGGGGAGGGACAGCTTCCCTCTGCCCTGCCAGTCACTGTCCGTCAGGCTCACAGCCGAGACGCCAGGGTCAGTCCTGGCTCAGCTCCCAGCTACTGGGCGATTCCGGCCAAGGTGGGTAGGTTCCAAAGTGTGATCTTTAGGGTGTTTTGTGTCTTTGGCGGCAGGACTGGGGGTGGGACGGTTATTCTAAATGTCAAGAGAGTTATCAGTACCATGGTAGAAGTTCCCAGAAGTGCCTCCTAGTCCCACAGCATGGGCGTTAAGTACTGTGACCTCTTCAGGAAGACCATCAGTTAGGATTTGGGGCCAGGAGGACCTGCTTCTGGCTTCTAAGGAACCAGGGGAGCCGACACCCTCTTGCCTCGGTGGGCAACTGTCAGTCTCATCCTCTGAGGAGCCAGGTGAGCCTGGGCAGTGGCACACGCCTGGGGACTCACAGGAGGCAGGGGCAGGAGGACTGCAAGTTCAAGGACAGCCTGGCCACGTCCTGGGACCCTGCCTCAGAATAAAAAATCAATAGGGCTGGGGAGGGGGTTCAGCGGTAAAGCTCCCCTGGGTTCAATCCCCAGCACCACAAAAAACCAAAGCAAAACAAAAAAACCCCAAGACAAAATGTCAAGATTGAGGACAAACTTGGCTCAGTTTGTGGTTTTGCATGGGCAAGCCTTCCAAGGTGCTCACGGCAGAGGGTTTTATTGGACTATTTAGAAAGATGCTAGATTCATAGTGAATAGCCTCTAACTAAATGATGATATGGTCAGAAACTCAATTATTTTTGGTTTACATTCAGTTTTTTTTTTGCAGTACTAAGGATTGAACCCAGGTGGTCCTGCCACTGAGCTATATTTTTTATTTCAGTTTGAGATGGGATCTTGCTAAGTTGCCCAGGTTGGGCTCCAACTTGTGATCCTCCTGTCTCAGACTCTGGAGTAGCTAAGAGTGTAGGCATGTACCACGGTGCCCATCACGTTTAGTTTAAAAATGTTAAAAAATGAAACATAGGGCTGAGGCTGGGGCTCAGTGGTAGAGTGCTTGCTAGCACGTGTGAGGTCCTGGGTCCAATCCTCAGCACAGCAAAAATAAATAAGCAAACAAACAAATAAATAAATGTCACAAGAAAATAATGTCTTTAGAGTACATTTTTCTTTTCTTCTTTTAAATGTGTAGATCAATTTCTTTTAGAGAAAAAAAAAGAAATGTGTTAAATTCTCAGTGTAAAAAATTACTTACTCTATTTCTCTTTGGTTGAACCCTAAATTTCTGCTCACATACCTTAGAGCAGTGTTTTCCCCAGTGCACTGATGATCATGGAGATTTGAAAGGCAGATTCCCAGATACTGATCTAGATCCACTGCACCAAGGCTCAGGAGTGGTTCCATGAATCTGCATTTTTCAAAAGGCCATCAAAGTGATACAGATACTCTGGCAGATCTGGGGACCTCTGCCATAAAACAAGCAGGGATTTAAAACTCCCAGCCTTATCTTGGCCCCTCACAGAACATGCTCCTGTAGTGGTTGAAGGTAATAAAGACCTTGTTGTAGGCTATTTCCTATTGATTAATGACCAGCTGGAAGAAGTTGTCTCTAGGCTCTTGCAATCCAGACTGGCAATAATTACCTGACTAAATAGAGGCTACAGTTCAAATGCACCACCTTGTCCCCTGCAAGGAACACTGCAGTTAGGTTGTCTTAATTGCATTCCTTTCCTAATTCACTCTCAACTTCCATAGTTGCTCTTAAACAGAGCAAACAAACAGGAGGTTCAAAGTGTATGTCCCCACTGGAGCAAACAGAAGTGAGGGGGCAGGGGAGAAGATTTGGCTCTTGGACAGATTTGCTGAAATGTTCTATTTGTTGAGCAGTGATTGCACCAGCTGATGTGAACTCTGCTGCCCTCCACTCTTTACAGATGACACCCATTTCCTTCATGCAGCTGCTAGGTAATTCTCAGGGGTTCTCCCCCTCCTAATGTCCTCTCTAATAAAATGACCTGTCCCCTGTGCTTCCACTCCGGGCTGCTGGTCAGCTGTGGCCGCACCAGCTGGATTGGGTCTCTACCCACCCCTCTCCTGCAGGTAAGGAGAGTGCTCATACCTCAGGTTGTTACCAAGCAACAGAGTTCCATTTGCCAATTGCCACCATTTCCTTCTCATAGTATTACAGGCCTTATTATTAACATTTAGTTCAGAGAAATTGCCGTCATTATGTGAAGCAACTTCCTTTAGAGGTTATTCATTAACCTTAGGGATTTTACTGTGTAATTATAATTGCCAAGTGCCGCAGGCTGGGGAAACCTTTGAACTCCTCACGGTATTCAGGAATGGCAGAAAGGATATTATCTGATTTTTCTTCCTTTTCCCGTTAAGGTTTAATCTTGAAAGTCTGGTTCCCCCTGTAGAGGTCTGTCTTCCAAACCCCAGACTCTTCCGTCTCCTTGCTCCAGATTGCTGGAACCAGATCTAAACCCTGGAGGAAGCTGCCTGCTAGTGATCCATCTCCCCAGTGCCACAGACGAGTGGAAACTCTTCCTCCTTGGTCTTGGGGGAAAGTGCTGGGGACATGGGCGAAGGTGGTGGTGTGCATCTCCCACCCCTGGGCTCCGGGAGGCCCTGCCCCTGCCCTGAGCCCATTACCCTGCCTTGTTTATAGAGGACAGTAGACCTTGCTCACTCCAGTGTTCTCTGAAAGCAACTTGTAGCTCACAGGCTGCTCAGGAGCGTGGTGTGGGTTCCAGAATACGCCTTGCAGACCCCAGTTCTCAGTAGCCACTGCTTGTAAGGTAGCCCTTCCGATTTGTCCCATGATGGTGGGCATTCCAAGACGTGGGGCCCCACCGGGACAACTCCAGGATGCATTTCACTTATAATTGCAGGAAAAACAAAAAACACAACAGAACCCCCACCTTCCTCCTCTCTCCCTTTGTTTCAAGACAAACAAGAGCAACTGGCATCCCCCGCCCCGCCCCCAACTGCTGGTGCCGCCAGCCCAGCCCGGGCGCCCGGGAAAGGAAACCTGTTTTCCTGCTGCCGGGTCCTGGTTCCCCGCCCTCCGCCCTCCGCCTGCGCCCCCCGCGCCCAGTGCTCCCGGCTCCCGCGGCCCGCGTTCCAGGTAACCCGATCCCGGCGCACGTGACGCCGCGGAGGCCGGCCTCACCCCCGAGCTGGGCACAGGTGAGCCCAGAGCAGTTTGGAGCCGGAATTTTAAAGCACAGATATTAAAAGGTGCTCGCTTCTGCACCAGACAGCTACCACTTTGATCATCACAAATGAAAAGGCGCGCTTGGCCCCGGGTTTTATGGCGAGAGCCGGCTGCGAGACAAAGGCGGCGGGCGCGGGAGGCTGGGCGGAGCGGGTTTTATGGAGCGCGGCACAAGTCTGGGCCGGAGCTTCGCGGCGAGGCCAGCGCCGCTGCAGGCCGCCTGCGACGCCCGGCCGACCCTGTGCGTCCCGGCGCGGCCCCTGGCTCGCCCTGGACGGCTGCGGCTTTGATCTGGGGCGCGGGGAAGCGGCCACTTTGGTAGGCTGTAGAAGGTGCGGGGTCTGCCGCTGTCTCCCCAGTGAAGGGCCCGTGGAGATCCCTTTGAGACTGGAAGAACATGCTGTCACTTGTCACTTAATGAGCTCAGCCTCCTCTTCCAGGGCGCATTAATCAATCAACCAACGCCTTAAAGCGTGTGTGCCTGGCGAGGTAAGGCAGGGCCTCCGCTCCCAGGTGTTTATGGTGCGGCTGGAGAATGGACCCAGTGTCAACCCTGGAGATAGCAGTGCCAGCCTCCGTGTGGCGCCCCCCGGCACTACTCTTCCACCCCATCAAGTGGACACTGCATTATCTCCACTCCACAGGCCTTTAGAGAGGCCACTTGCCCCAGTCGCACAGTGGGTGGCTGTCAGGCTCCAGAGGAGCTAGGCCCATCTGTTAACATCCGGCCAGGGTGCACGGCCTGCCCTGGCCCTCTCGGGACAGCAAGTAGATCCCTGGCCTCCAGTTAAGCCTGAGAACTTTCTTTAGGGGCCACTGGCCTCGGGGACCCCCACAAGTTCTGTTTTCCCTTGCTCTGTCTTTCTGGATGCCACCATCACATGCCGGTTATTTCTCCTCCGCGGGTGTAATCTTACACATGGCCTCTGCTCTTCCTGTGAGCTTACTATTCAGGTGCAGAGACTAGACCTCATTCAGGGGAATACACAGCAGAACTCCGCTGCCCTCATCTTCAACAGAATGTCCTTTCCACCCCTACCTGGGGCAGCAGTTTTCGGAAAGGCAGATGGGGAGAGTCAGGGTCCTCCCAGGACCCCAGAGCAGGCCTGCAGTACAGGCAGCCTCAGCTGGTTCACCACCGCTAGCTGCGGAGTTGGCTCAGGATGACCAAAGTAACCCAGCAGAAGGCGGCTCTCCCAGGCAGGCTCACCCTGGGGTATTTTTTATAGGGTGAAGCACCAGACAATGGGATTTTATGAGTGTCATGGGGAGACACATCATCTCACTTCTCTGGTTGCTGGGTTAATTATGCCAGCTGCTGAGGTGAGGTGTGGATCGGAATGGGAAACGTCCTGATGGAAAATCCCAGACGGAGGGGCATGGGCCCTGCCTGGGAGGCTGTTTTTATGTTGTATCCCTCCTCGGCGGAGTTGGCAGGGCTCGGGAGTCCTGGAAGGCATTGCTCAGTGCATCCCCCTCTTCTCTTAATTAGAAACTAAGTTCTCTTTTCATTCAGCAGCTCGGTTGGCGTCACCTATTGGGACAGAGTAGCCACTGGGGAACCTGAGTTCTAGCTTTGAACTTGCTGCTAACCGCCCTTGAATCAGCTCCCAACCTTGTGCACTTCAGTTTCCTCACCTTGAAGGAAACAGTGGAAGCATTTGTAAGAAAGTGAGCTGGTCTTTTTTTTTTTTATTTTAATCTTTTATGTATTGGAGCTTTGTATAAGATATTAGTTTAAAAAATAGAAGGAGAACTCATTCACAAAAACCCTTCTGAAGCCCCTGCTCTGGAGCCATGCCGGTCCCCTTCCTGATGACCTGCAGGCCTCGTAGACACTGTGGCTATGCCCTGTGGGATCACAGCTGTTTAGTTTGGCTGGAGCGTGGATTGCACGGGGATAGGAGTGGAAGAACAGCCGGGAAATGAAGGTCAGTCCAGACTTGGGATTGCCGTGGGTGCTGAACCAAGAGTCCGAACACTGATTCATTGGAATTTGGGAGCCACCAATGATTTGTGAGAGTGAACTTTTGCTAATTATCATTTGCACATAGCTGTGAGTAAAGTTGACCTGAAACATTTCCCGTGGATGAGACTCTGGCGATGGGCAGTTCACATCTGATGTGTGTGTTACCTGCTGTGGGCAGGGACTTGGGTTTCTCCTATGTTTCTGCTTCTCTTTTGAGGGAGGCAGACTCTCATCCCCAGAGTTGCCTCATGGTCTGAGGTGGCTGCTGGACACCATCCACCAAGTCTCCACTGCAGGCAGGTGAGGGGGAAGAGAATGGCAAGAAGGGCACAGCTCCCCTCCTGGGAGACAGCCTGGTCAGAGCCCCTCCTGGCTCACTTTCTTACAAACCAGGGGCCGAGCCGGGCTGACTAGCTGTGTTCTGGGCAGCAACATTACAGCTGTAGCCAGGGCAGAGCTGCTAAGAAGGGAGGGAATGAGGACAGTGGAAATCCTGCATCGGGGTGCATACTTCATTTATTTGGCGGCAGTAAATGGGAGGGTCCGTGGGCCGATGGATGATGGATGGGCTGAGGAAGTGGTATGACGAAGAGATTGGGAGCCACGTAAGGGGGATGCTGGTGACGTCACTGACTAAAACGAGGAAGTTGAGGAAGGAGTTTGGGAAAGAGGGTCATGAATGAGGATTCGAACCTGCTGAGTGTGTCCAGCAAGCTACACCAGAACTGGAGCCAGGGGCACTGGGTGGCACAAGTGAATGTTCAGTTCACCTATTTTATTGAATCCTTCTCTTTTGATGTCAATGTCGCAGATGCTTCTCGGGGCTTCACGAAGGACTCGGGGGACTGTTGGTTATGACGGAGTGTGCGATAGTGTTACCTCTTCTCTGCTGGACTCGGGCTCCTGCGAGTTTCTTTCTGAGCACTGGACTTGCAGATCCTGAGAGTCATGGGAAAGATGGTATTCTGAGCAAATGCTCTCTACCCACACTACCTGCGCCCTGGTGAGCCCAGCACGGGGAAAGCCCCACTCTCCAGCTCTAGTCGCGGCCCTCCTTAGTAGGAGATTCCTGTTCTCCTTTCACTCCAGCCTCAACCTGACCCCTTCTGACCTGTGCTGTCTCGGACCCACTGTCGAGTGGAGCAGCCCAAGTGGATGCTGCCGGGCGTTCAGGAGGAGGGATGTGGAGCCCCCGTGGGTCTAGGAGAAAAGCGTGCCATCAAAGTGTGAAGGGAAGGCCCCCACCTGGTGGGCGATGGGGTCAGACAGCAAGTTTAATAGCGGAGGTGCCCAGGAGGTGCCCAGGAGACTGAGAGTGAAGCAAGGCCGAGAGCTCAGGCTGCAGGATGGGAGTCCATGCCCCGTGGGAGCACTCTGCCTAGGCCGAATGGCTCCCTAGAGGAGACCCGGTGAGATCGTCCCCAGCCACGGCCTCAGAGGACATGTGTGGGTGAGGGGCAGGGGTCTGGTTTCCAGCAGTGTGAGGCTGGCGTTGGCTCTGTGACGCCCTCTCCTCCAGGGGTGGCAAGCACCCTTCTGAGGCCTTAGGCTGCTCTCTCTGGAACCCCTGAGGACCGTCTCGAGTCGGCACGGGATGCTTTCCTTTTCATCCATCTTCTTTGCGGCCCTCATGGGGACTCCGTCACTGCCTCAAGTATGGGCAGTTTTCTCACCTGATTTCTTTGATTTCTGCCATCGCATTCTCTGTTCTCTCTGGAAATCCTCTTAGTCACATGCTGGATCTCTTGGGAATCATCGGTTTCAGCCCTTGGCTTTTTATTCTTGGATCTCAATATTGCCTTCTTTAAAAGATCAATAAAAACTTTTCAAGCTGCCTTATAAATGCAGTGTGTTTGTGTGATGTCATTAGAAGGACGGCCTGGCCAGGGGAGTGGACATGGGGCTAGACCCAGTCGCAGGGGCAGAAAGCCTTCTAGCCCCGTGTCCACTCCCCTGACCAGGCCATCTTCTGATGAAGCGCTCTTGGTTTTCTTCCACTAGTGGCTGTCGCCCGCCCCCCCTGGGTCTCCCAGATGATTTGACGCAGCTGAGGGTTGGCGTCCCCTTGGATTCTCATGGAAACCCTAGTCCCCGGTTGGGGCCTGAAGTGCAGGTGAGAACCTAAAGAGGTGGACGATTTCCACCTGGATGACAGTCCTGGCCTACGGAGGTCTCTCTTGTCAGAGGTAGCAATGGGGGCAGGCTTACAAGCTGAGGGCTTCTCCATGGGGACAAGGGCTTTAGCTGTGTGCTTCCTGGCGATTCAGATTCAGATCTGTGCCTCCAGGCAGATGGCCTCCGTGAATGAAGCTACTTTTCTCAAAGAAGGTTGATTAATCTGAGTTTTAGAATACTTCCACTTGACCGTCAGAGCAGCTTAATGTTTTAAGTGCTTCCAATAAACGCTTTCTCACATATTGCATATTTTTTAGTAAAATGTGAGCATTTGACAGCATATGCCAGAATAATCTACTTTCACCTGTTGACCAGGCCATCTTTGACTGAGAGTAGAGGGCTGCGCAGTGCTCCCAAGGCCTGACGGAGCACCCGTAGCACGCCCTCTCTGCTCACGCCATCCTTGGAGCTGCCTCCCATGCCTCTCTGCTTCGCCCTTCCTGACCCCTCTTCCTCTCGCTCTCTGACTTGGGGTTCAGAGATGTCGGGCTTCAGGACAACCTGGGCCCTGACTGGGACTGCTGGATCAAACTGGTGGGGCTGCCCAGGTGCCCGCCTCCTGGGCAGACCAGGACTCCAGGCAGCGCTCTGGTACTGTAAGGTGCACCAAGCGACCTCTCTCCTGCTCTCCCTGGGGAGACCCCTCATGCTGGGCCACTCAGAGTTGCCATCTAATGGAAAGACATCCTCAAGAGTTTTTTTTTTTTTAATCAGCCTGTTTTATAAATGAGGACACAGAGTCCAAGAGCAATATATAAAATGAGATTTGCTTTGTCAGAGATGATCGTAAGTGCCTATTGAACACATGGTGAGATGACTCACCCGACACACACCCTGATTTGTAGTCTTTTCTTACTTCCACTAGAATCACTGGGAAGGAGGAGAGGGGGAAACAAGGGGTGAATTCTGGGCCAGAGTTCTGCATTAACAATCAAAGGGGAAACGTGTGGGGACCTCTGTCGAGTGCCAGCCCAGCCAGGAGTGTCCTCAGTGAGGCTGCTGATAGCAGGTTTTGTTTTTTAATTGTGTGGTGCTCATTGACTGTTGATTCTTGCAGAACTGGGTCAGTCTGAGGTCAGGGAGGCCGGGAAGGGGAAGCTGTGGGCTTAGAGATGGAATAAACAGCTCTGTCCGTCCATGTGAAATCTTTAGGGCTTGAAGAGACACACTTCAGACACTTTCTTCCTAAAATAATCAGAAGAGCAGATGGCACTTTGTATATGCAACAACACAAGGATGGCAGGGGAAGAATCCAGGAGGAGGGGGCGGTAAAGTAGTTGCACTTTAAGAGTGAGGTCCCTGCGGGCAGGTCTGCTGGGGCTGCGTGGGCTCAGAGCTGAGAAAGGAAGGCTGAGGGCTGAGCCTGGACTCCGTGTGCAGCTCCTTTCTCCTCCGGGCTCCCTCCTCTTCACAGGTTGTAGGTCCCTGGGGGTGGCTGCTTCCTCCAGGAGCCTCGCAGCAGCTGGAGAGAGGCTTGGCTCTCCAGCTGACCTTTAGTGTTATCTGCCTTTTGGTGACCTCTTGGTTTTATAATGGGACAGTTTATTTGCCTGTGCAAATTGAGTTTTCTTAGAAATAGAACAGAGTTAGAAAGAGGCCAATGTTTTGATTGTTTGCTCTTAAGAAGGAGAAGCAGCTATGGGCTGTTCCTTCGATGACAGTCTCTGTTGGTTTATTTTAATACCTTGAAGTGAGGTCTGCAGGTCAGAGATGCTGAGCTGTCCCTGGGCAGAGGTAGAAATATCTGTGGGGTTATGAGTTGATTATTTCTCCATTCCTGGGAGCTCTTGGAATTTGCTGAGCCACTGGCCTGACCAATCCCCCGACCTGCACCCCAACAGGTCTGCACCCCTAGAGGGGCTGCTCAAGCAGTCCTCGAACTAAATAAGCGTTCAGTGAGAATTGTGCCAGTCTTTTCCTCGACGGGACCTGCGCCTGTAACCCAGTCCAACAAAACGAGGGAGAACAAGCCAAAAAAAACTTTTTAAGCAAGAACCCAGGCAGTAGGAAGTCATGCTGGTTGGGGCTTGTTTCCCTGGCTCGGCCTCATTCCAACCTGCTGGATCAGCTCTGGAGTGTCTAGAGGGACACCCTGGTGCGGGCCCTGGGAGGAAAGGAGCTTGTGCATTTCTGTTTGACTGGGCTCCTTGCCAAAGGCCAAGTTCAAAGTGCAGTTTCCAGTAATTTGCTGGGACTTCTCTGAGGGTCTGATAGGCCGGGTCAGAAGCCTGCAAACCCAAGCAGTCTTTCCTGATTTCTGTCATTTCTGGAGAAGAGAAGGAAGGTTGCCTAGGGGCTGGGGGTTGACTCAGAGCGGACTGGGCCTCCCCTGTGTCTTGTCCCCCCTGCCCTTTCTCCCCCACCCCATCCAGGGCCACTGGCAGCCTGGCCTGGGACGGACTTGCTTGGGGTCCCTTCTGGAGCAAATGTGAGGCTGCCATCCAGGCGGCCGGGAACGCTTCCTTTGATTCACTGCGTGTTGGCATTATTGGGGGCCATAAAGTCGTCGAGCAATGGCAGTGTGACTTGTGTTCTCATATCTGTGGGATGAAAGGGAACGTGTTTATAACCCTCCCCTCAGCACATCGAGCTCCCTGGTGTTGACCACGGGGGCTGCATTAAAGGGCAGCCTCCGTGAGAAGTCGGATTTCACCTCCTGCCCTGCAGTTCCTCTTCCCATCACCTCACTGGGCATCTCCTCCTCCCGCCGACCCTCAGAGGATCCAGGCCTGCCAGCGGGAGGGGCTCTTGGTTGAATGACCGGGAGGTCGAGGTGGATCTCACTGTCGAGAAGTGTTTGCAGGAGCCGCGTGGTTTCTGCCCAGGAGACTCAGGAACTTGGTGAACTTGATGACAGCTCATCAGCTGTGTCCCCAAGAAGTGTCTGATGGCTTATTGTGAATTTGTGTTCCGCAGGACGGGACATCTGTCACAGAGGCTGGCGTCAGCCCCCTTTGAGGAGCAGTATTCGGTTTTCCCTGGTCTCTGGATGATGGCCCTTGACCAGAGGAGGCACCAGCAGAACCTCGAGGGCAGCACTGGGCACCCAGGAGAGAAAGGAGAAGTCCCGGAGCTAACCTGCCAGCACTCATTATCCAGGTCACCAGTCGCCTGGGTGTCCTGATGTCCCTGGAAGCCACACCCAGCAACACCAGAGCCTCCCAGGCATGGAGTAACTTGGGCCAGCAGCCCCTTCCTCCCCCAGGTCTCTCCCACTCACTCTTTCTCCTTCAACACTCTTCTTTTCATTTGCTAATTTGCCTCTAAAAGACCTGACTCCTGCTTTTCTTCCACCCTGGAAACTGAATTATGGCAATTTAACATTATAACATAATTCTACTGCAATAAAGCAGTCTGGTGTCATGATGGTGATGGAGTGGATGGGGTGGGGTAGGGGCAGAGGATTCACTGGAGGGGACTTTCTGCATTTGGTTATGAAGTGCTAGTACACAGCCTTGTTCTGGGACCTTATTTATTTATGTATTCCTTGCACCTGTTCTGCCACCGAGCTGTGTCCCCAGCTCTGAACGCTTACTTTATTTAAAAACATCTTATTTAGATATTAATCTAATGTAAATATTAGAGAATTGCTGCCACTTGAAACCATACAAATATTCATCTTTATGATGACAAAAGAATCCATTAAAGTTTTTTCAAGGAAGTTTTTGGTTGTATGGGCTTCTATTATACAAACAATGGTTTGTACCATTTGTCATCTTCACTGAATTGTTTTTTTTTAAAACTTACAGGAATAAATTAATAATTTGTTTTTACAATGTGGTATTAAAAAAAGAGTCTCAAGTGGCACACACCTGTAACCTGGCAGGAAGGCCAAGGCAGGAGGATTGAAGTCTCAGGCCAGCCTGGGCAACTTGGTGAGGCCCTGCCTTAAAATCAAAAGACAAAACAAAACAGGGCTGGGGATGTGGCTCAGCGGTGAGCGCTCGCCTAGCGTGTGCCAGGCCCTGGGTTCGATCCTCAGCACCACATAAATGTAAAATAAAGATATTAAAAAAAAAGACAAAACAAAACAGGATCAGGAATATAGCTTCATGGAAGAGTACCTGCCTAACATGCATTAAGCTCCAGTAAAACAAACGCCTTGAGTTATTCAGTCATCTTTAGTTAGGATTAAGGGAAAAACAAAACTTGTGATAAATTGTTTAAAAACAAGGTACCTCGTTAACTCTAGGAGGCGAGTTTCAGGGAAATGGAAGAAAAGAGAGGGGACTTTGAGATCTTGTCAAATGAGCGAGTTTTCTCATCTGGCGGATCTAAGTCAGGGAGGGGTTCCCAACAAGTCGGACTGCTTACTGCACGTCTGTTCAGGAGGACAGGCTTCTGCCACGGCCGCGTCAGCCCCAGTCGAGGGCCTGTGTCACTGCCCCGTCTCTGCAGGTGGGCGGGGTTCCGCTGCCTCCTCCGTCCCTGTCCCTCACTTCAGGCTCCCCGCTCATGAGGCCCAGGGAGGTCCACC